CTTAAGATTGTTACTTCCTGCCAGGTAGTTAAATGGCACGAGTTAGAAAGATACGCAGCAAAAGAGAGGATTTCGTCACTCTCTACACTAACACATAAGTAAGTGTAAGTGCATTTCCTCATGCATATTACAGTATACAGTTTGACTTCTAAAGAGATTTCAACAGGACCAGTGCATTGGTTTGAACATAAATCTGATGCATGTTTACTGAAATAAATGTATGTATTATTTTAACATATAGTTAAAATAAATTGCTCACGGAGCTCGAGTGCGCGACAACTCTCCAACGTACCAACGTTGAGTAAATTACGCAACGATCCTGCATACAATCGCTATAAAGATCCTGCAGGAATGGCAACGCGTGAGAATTTGGTCTCCGTTTTAGTGAAAAGCCTGATTTTATCTCTGTTCATGATTTGGGTTCTGAGGCGGATGAAGTTAGGACGGTTTGTACATGTGCAGAAGGTATATATTCGCGGAAGAGTTAATTTAAGATCAAAAAGGCGATTCTGCATTGCAAGAAAGGAATTAAGTAATAATGAAGTAATAATTATGAAATTCACGGCTAAATTCAGAGAATTACCTGCTCGGAGATTACTAGGCACATATCAAGTCTCTCTGGTCACCGTTTGAGTTGCTAAAGATTGTTTGAATAGCGAGAATATGCTGGAAAAGTTTTAGTACTAAACACATGACTGTCTAGGAGATGACTCGACTACCGAATGGGTAACTCCAGTGTTTGTGTGCAGTGAAGGAGCCCCTGTTCCTTCCAACTGGAGGGAAACGCACTCCGTCTGAACACTGTCACGCATATACCATATTCCGCCGTAACTTGAACCAAACCCTTCCGCAAGCCTGAATTTTCTGACACGTTGAGGTTCATATTATTTGAATTTCTCAGTTTTTTATTACTGTGATTGTTGCTTCACTAGATTAGTCGCATACCCACTGAGTTCGCGATTTGTGTCAAAATTCGGACGTATAATGTAAATTATAATGAAGATAGATTCTATTACTCTTCACAGAAGTCCCGGAATCACTCGCTTTGGACGCACAATAACAGGAGGTGACACATGCACGAAGAGCTATGAGCTTGTTGTTCTCTTAGGTTTGTCGTAAGCCTCATAATGACTATCAATTCATCTTTTCCACTCGGAATTTTTGCCCATACTCTACAATATATTCTTCCGTGTATATGCACCGTTCACGCCACAAATCAGCAAAATCATCTTACTCTTTATTCAAGCCAGCAACTGGTGTGTAATGAAGCTCGTCATCGAAAAATTAGCTAATGCACTAAACGTTGCCCGTCCTGCAAGTAGTTTACAACCTGCACCTCGGATTGTGCTGAACTTGCTCAGGTTTGAATAGCGGTTATCTATCTTCTTTAGTTGATCATAAATGCAAATCAAAGTAGAACGCGCATTGATTTTAGTACACTGTAAACGAAATTTAATTTCACCTCAGTGCTCAATTTCGCTGGAAACTTCTTTGGAAGATATCCAATATACCACACAAATACTACAGACACTTGAAAAAAATTATTTCTTTTCTTATGCTCTTCTGGTAGCCTGAAGGTCGTTGAGATGAAAGGCAGAGCCACTGTAAGTTGCAATTCGGCGGGTGCGAGAATATCAGTTTTAGAGGTTCTTGTTGTCAGTATGTTATCAGTTAAAGACGAGGAAATGCGTGGCATAAACTTTCTTCCGACGGACGGCAAGGACCATAGTACTGTTTTAGTGATCAGCGCATCATGCAGCCGAAAACAGAGTCCATCTTGCATCAAAACGGAGACACTAGTCTCAGGCGCTTAAGCAGGTGAAAGGATTCGTTGTCAGACTATAAACATTGACTTTGTGCTACAAGCCCATACGATTTAATCTTTCAAGTTGTGCAATGCTTAACAGTGTAGAGTATCAAAAGTAAATTTCTGTCTTTTTATTGTGCTTTACACTTGCTGATGCTTAGTGTCTTAATTCCCGAGTCGGAATGAATTTATTTTAGCCCACCTGATCGTTGCTTACTAAATGTGGTAATCAACAAGGACCTAATTCAAGTCGTTGTTGAAATGTATCTTTTCGAAAAATCCCCCTACCCCACATCGTTCAACGGTGACTTTCAAGCGATACGTCAGAGAACCATTGCAAAATATTTTGCTTCCTACAGCATAAATCGATTATGATCAAGTACATCTAAACAGCAGTAGAACGAGAAGAAGCAAATAAAATTATGAACGAAATTATAAATAAAACATTAATGGTCAATCTGTCTAAGGATATTCTTTATCAAAGCGAAAGCATTACAGTCAAAAGACGCAATACTTCGCGGGAAACATAAGCTTCTACAGCTAAATTCTAATGATGTCTTGCATAGAAACGTTTCAGAAGTATGTGCAATACACTCAGATGTCATTAGCTTCAACGGAATTTCGGCCGAAACGCAGCTATGTAGCCATTTGATCGTATCCTATTCGTAGTGATGAGAAACCCACAAAGTAAAACACGTTGATTTTTTTTATTATCAGCCGGTTAGGAATGAAGCCGACGGTATCCAATAACCGTTTTTTTTTCTCATCTTCATTCTATTTAGAAACTTTTCTTTTGACAACGATGCTTTCCCATGCTTGTGGATGCATTGTAGTATAATCAAATACGATGCTGATATTGTTTCTCATCAACAAACTGGTCTTGTCTTGATCATTTACTTTTGCGTTCTTTCTCTCGTGACCTTTGCCAACCATTTAAGAAATTGACTTTTTCTCCTCTTCAACAATACAGAATGACATTGACCTTAGAGAATTCTTTTTCAGGTTAATTCATGTTTCTACCACATATTCTCTTTGGGCTAAATCAAAAAGGTTTCAAACAATACGCTGTCAAAGATATTAAACTCCATTATGATACGCTTTGTTTCCGTTGACTCGATGTTGTTCCTGATGGTAATATCAGAATGATCTGCCAGAAATTCTTTTCAGCTCTTGCAGTGATTATCTGACCGCTTGATTGTTTGCTCCATTTGTTCCACAACTGATTCACAGTGGTCACGATATCTTGTCGATCTGTGTAACCAATCAGTTGCGCATTTAACGGGAATCGGGTTATTTAGCCTTGTCAATAGTGATCTCAAGCTTCTCCTTGACTTTAAAGCGACTGTGACATTCATTGCGCTAGTAATCCGTCCCAGAGCTTCTTACAAACCCTGTGTCGCAGAGCACGACATGCAGGTAGTAAGTGTCGGCTTTAATTTCGGTTTAGCTTTGGACTCAGTTCTACCCCGCGAGGTTTTAGGATGAACTTCTTGAGTGATGAGTTACGTTTCAGCAGATTGTGAATACGCCTTATTTTCTTTCGTATTCGATTACCTGAACACAGGTTGTAGGCTTGATGCATAAGACATTTAACCATTTCAGCTTGCAAAAGTGTGGTTATAATTAAAATTCAAATAGTAATCGATTTGTGGACGCTACATGTATACCAACATTTTGATTAATTCACTTTTTAACCGGTTTACTTAATAGTTCAGGAAAGAAATTGTGACCCCCTTCTTTATCATCACGAGCTATATTTCTGGCGTTGTTGTTCAGGTGGCTTTACAGTTCCTTAACGTTTTCTTTCGGTAAATAGTAAATGCATGAGTAAAGTTACTATATTTTGGTATTTAGCGGATTTGATTTGAAATTGCCGTTTTCGATTTTCTCTACATATGGAAAATTTGTTCATGTTGAATTAAACAGCGCAAAGCGCTGTTTAATAATGTTCAACGCAAGAGATAACGTGATTAAGTAAGGTGATTGATCGATACTGACGTTTCGGTGATTGCTTCACAGTCCTTATTCAAGGTAGGTTAGTGGTTTAGTTTCTCGAATGTGATCAGTCATTTGCAAAAGTTGACGGTTTCGGAGCAATAAGATCGATAGTCTGTTCGCGTTAATTTGCAGTTGTAGAGCGCACTCTTCTAATGGACGAGGAATGAAATATGTTCCTTTAAATTATCATCTCAGGTTATCTGTATCATTTGGCAACAAAAAGGTTTCCGTAGGAAAGTAAAATTTGCTAATGGTAAGAAATATCTACGATGTCGAACGGTCATCAGCTACATGGATGAAGAGTTCGTCCTTCATGTGGTTAGGTTTCATAAATCGCAACTCCGCCACACATGCCATTGTCGGCTGTGGTTATATATGATGTCCATGATGAAAAATTTTCGAGGCTAAATAACAAAAGCCGTTTATGATGCTGCGTTGTTAACCGTCAATCCTGTTTACCACCGAGAGATGAGTTCTTCCTTTTAGTGTTGCACAATTTGTCCACAACTTTCCTTTTTCAATACCAGATTTTTTAAATATGATGTAGTAGTCTACAGCGGGAAACGATAAAAGTTTTCTTTTGTAACATTGTATATTTCAAAGTCATATAATGTTTCTAAATTACGACCCGTCAGTCATACCGATTCTGAAAGGAAGTGAGGTATGTTTAAACAAGTAGTATACTTTAGTTTTTGTCTTAGAACATGATTATACCGCCGTTGATTATACTGTAGTTGCACGTTGTAACTCCGTTTGTATTACATTGATTTGGTAAGTGAATGCCGTTTGGTATAAAACTCTGTTTATATTATATATCGAGGTGCTAGAACACTTAATGCATTAACGGGCTGTTTTCTTATAGATCTTGTAAATGATTGCTAAACAAAATGGTAGATCGTTGTTATATGCGTTATGTTGAATAAACACTCGTTCCCTTTGAGAACTCGTGTACTTTAGCTTTACCTGATTTCCCATTTTTCGTTTGGTCTTACGAGTAACTGTATTAATCTGAAAAGGCAGATTTGCTTGAATCTAGGAAAAATTAAAATTCACAAACCTTTGTAAGTGTTAATTATCCTTCCATGATATTCTTCATACCTAGCGAGGATTCGACTTCGTTTTACATTGTTACTATCACTTTTACACTGCGATGTCCATTTATGATGTTTAGGTGATTTAGGTGAAGTGATCAAAAATGGTTAGGGGTCCAAGGAAACATCTGAAGCGTCTGAATGCGCCGAAACACTGGATGCTGGATAAAAGGACTGGAGTGTTTGCCCCAAGGCCGAATCCCGGTCCACACAAACTTCGCGAGTGCCTGCCGCTAATACTGTTCATTCGGAATCGGTTGAAATATGCGCTAACTTATGACGAGACAAAGAAAATCTTGAAACAGCGCTTAGTCAAGGTGGACGGAAAAGTTAGGACCGATTTAAAGTATCCCGCTGGATTTATGGGTAAGATTGGCTTTGTGCAAAAATGACAGTTAAATGTAACGCCAAGACCCTCTTTTCGTATTTTAAGAGATGTGAATTCGGTAAACTTTTCATTCATGTTTAATAAATATTTTGTTCAGCAGTTGATGGCATGCATAACGGCTTTTCGATCATTTTTGTTGCTACATAATTCAACTCTATCGGAGTTCGAGTCTTTACGATTACAAAAATCTATGATAATTTCTGTTGCTGTAAAATGGTCGGTCGGCTAAGCTTAAGATAAAGCCTTAATTATTTATTCGAATTGAAGTTTGAAGTTTTTTGAAGTGCAAATGAAATTACGAGGCAAAGGCAGTTTTCAGAAGAAACGCGTATTGGTGTAGAAAAACGTAAAATAACGAAGTTAAACTGAATGTAAAACAACATCATTGAAGAATTATCAAAGTCGAGATAGGTTTGTTGTCACAGTGTGGACGATATGTATCATATACGCTCAGTGACTTTAATCATCACCAGTACGTTATGTAACGTCGAAGTTCAGCGTTCACGACTTATGGAAGAATTTCCATGCAGGCCTTTTTTCTTTTTCGTTCCTTTTTGCTGTTAGTTTAGTTTCAACTTACATATGTTTATTTCCATAATAGATAGCTGCGGTTATATTGTTATATAGCAGTACAGTATAATGGACTTCATTGACTGATTGTTGTTTAAAGTTAATACGGAAAGAAAAGTAGAACAAGGTCAGAAGCAAAACAAAAATTGGCAAGTATAGAAAACAAAAACAGAAATACAGCAAAGAACTGAAGATGGGATGCCGAACGGTTATTTCAGTTAAAACATACGAAGAATTGTCGTCTAAAGTTATCAAACATTGAGAATGTTGGCCGGACACTGGGAAGACAGTGTAAAAGCCCAGTCAGTTGAAATTGTGTGACAGTTGAGACTGCTGAAGATTATAATGTATTGATTGGTACAAGTATGGTTTTCTAAATGTCTGTTTAAGCAGTATTGCCAAGATCGAAACTGGCATGGCCAACCGATGCATTTAACGGGGCAGTAATGTTTCATGTAGGAAGGGTATAGTGTAGTAGTAAAAACAATACAGAACATGGATTGTTTATGAACAACGCAATCAGTACGGTCAGTTGGATGATTGATTGGTACTGGTGTTTCGACCGTTTCTCACGTGCCTTCTTCAAGATAAACAGATGCGTATACGTGCGAGGTTCTTCTGGTGAAGATGAGTTTTGGTCCTTGGCGATGGAAGCGAGAAGTCGCACCCAGTTCGCGCATCGTTCATGATCTTCATCACTGTTGACATTATCGCAGCGTCTGATTAGGCCTTCATGATTGGGCCTGTTCAGTTAGTGTCTTTTTTGGGTAATGCCTGTGCAATCTGACAATCAGAAAACGGTTCCGTCCTGTGCCGCATGCTGCACCACACTCTTTCAAAATCCACTCCAAGGTCTCATTCCACCACATTGCAGTTTTCTGCATCTATACTTGGACTGAAGCGCACAGAAAATATGTAATTCCGCAGATGGTTCGGAGTCTGCAGCAAGGGGAACGGAGAAAAAGAATCTGCTCGAAATGATCATATCCTGCTAACCAACATATAAATATTAATTTGTATTAACTTTCTATCCGCCAGTCCGTTTCCCCTTCATAATTCTTGTCTCATTTCCTTGTTTCCTTGTCTCACTGCTGTATATTTTGTTTGTTCTCGTGCATTATATTCATATTCTATACCAGTGGGTCAACAATTGCTGAAATATTAGTCATGCTAGTTTTATTACCTGTTTCAGTTTTTTAAGCAGCAAACTTAACTGATTGATTGACCGTCCCGGCGATCTTTTCGCAATGCTTCTTGACCTGGCTGGGTGCAAGGCTATTATCTTTTTTCTTCCCAAGTGCTTCATTACCATGGGTCGCATACGCTCATCCGCAATCATTCATCATTTGGCTTGACAAGATGATCTTAGTTCGTTGAGCAATTGTGTTTCTTATTTCTCCTATGTAATATTTTCCGCAGTTACACGGTAATTTCTAAACCGGGGCTTAAGTGCTGTTATTGGCGGAATTACTTAATCATGCATTATGTTTATCAGAACTTTCAAATGCTAAACTAACATTGTATTTAGTGTTAAGTGATCTTTGTAACTTTTCACTAAAGTTTTTATGATATCGGAGAAATAGCGTTTATTATTTAAAGTACTTCTTTGGACATTAGCTAAAGCTTATTATATAGAGCAGATTATTGCTATTGCAAGTCAAATTAAGCCATGTCACTCTATGATTTGTAATATTAACGAATTTAACTGGGTGATTATTATTATTATCATTATTACAAGGTTAATTTAATATTTCATCATTTTAACAGATTAATTGCAACAGAATTTTAGAGCTTCATGTATTATAGCTCTTATTACAGATGTTTTATTTCAATGACGATGTGAGCTAAAATGAGATATTTATCAGTGCTAGTAGATTTATATTAAAGTTTAGTCTTATTGAAATTGTTAGAATTAATTATTGGGACACCGGATAACGGTAGAGTGGAGTTATTTTCTCTTTCATTGGTTAACTCGATATTTTAAGGAAAGAGAACATTGAGGAGGTGCTAGAATTTGATCTACCTTCGGAAGCAAGTCCGGCTTCTTCTCGCGGCTTGCATTTTCTGTATGCCAGGAAATTTTCTGCGAAGATTGGGGAAAGTGGGTTCCACATTTGTCGAAGGAGAAATAAGTTGCTCTACCATGCGAAAAGTTATGAACTTAATAGTTAACAGAATTAACGAAAAATAGTAGTGGTATGTGGTACCTCACAGTTATTCCGAATAACCAGTTTGATAATCGTTAAATCGCTGGTTAAGTGAACCTCCAAAATTTTTGCTTCGGTCAGTGACATGTAGAGAATCTGAATACTGACGTCCTAGCGTGAGGTTCACACGTCGTAATCAGATTTTGAGTCAGCCAGTCTTTTACGTTTACAATGTGCAGCAATTGGCTATTTTTTACTTAGGAACAAGTGTGACTTTCTGGGATTTGTAGCATGCCTGTTTAATGGTAGCATGCTTATCCAGTGCCACAGTCGACGTTAGGTATTTTTTGTATTTTCCAGTCAACCTCGCCGGTGGTTAAATCACTGCATTCTCGGGCAGTGCCGTGAATTTAGTATCTGCGACTGTCAGTTCATAAAATTTCCTGCTTGTTTCGCAGCTAGCCTACGTTTCTGAGTGTTTTTCACTATTTATTAATTATTATCGCCATCCTGGACATTGGTCCCTGTTTCTGCAATGGATCCAGACATTCTTCTATTTCCTAATTCTTACAGATTGAATTATTATATTTTCATTACACGAGTTAAAATTAAATAATAAATTACCCGCGGCCTGGAAGGAGAAGCAGTCATGGAAGGTGAAGAATATGAAGGTAGTTTGGTTTCGAAACATTTTAAAGACACAGATTTATGTCATATGAATTCTTTTCATTTGAGGTTCCTTGCACATCCTGAAAAAATTCAGTCGAAGTGTGCTGTTGAAGAAGAATGTTGAATTAAGAGTTATTAATATTAAGAGTTTCAAGATTTAAAAATAAATCTTTAAACTCAGTAGAGTTTGATATTATGCTAGTTTCTAAAATTTAGTCTTTGGATTGCTATTTTTTTCCACCGGCATTCCTTATGTAGTGAAAAGTTTTAAGCTAACTGGTTGAACAAGACTGCAAAGGAAAAATGCTTTTCAAAGTAGATGAAGGAAACTTATAATCAAAGCAATCAGCGTATCAGTCAAATCATAAAGCAGTAATAATAGGCAAAATAATTGACGTAATTGCCGCGACTGGCATGCAGAATGACGATGACAAATTATGAGAAAATTGAACTACTAAAGACCGCGAGTCAAGGGAAACGATGCATTGCTTGAAGTTGGAAGTTGATAGTTAATTTGTTGAAATAGTTAATTGCGGCATGCGAAACCACTATTCAAATTGGAGCAAGACTCGCAATGAATTTTTTAATATCATGGAGGCGGATCTTACGCTGGAATAGATGAAATGTAGTGGAATTTCAATATCAGACGTTTTAATGATGGACCTTCGTTGGCATTGGGTTCTAGAAGAAACATTGGAAACAATAGTGATGGTGATTTACGTCGCAATGGTATAGATATAGTTAGTTCGGTTATAACCGAAACAAATTATGTAGCCAGTCTTATCACAATTTTGAATCAAGAAACAGTGGACCGTGTTGAGGCTCACCGCCGGAGTCAAACTGAATGAAGTAGATGATTTTCTACTATTTTTTACCGTTGTCTATTTTTCTTGCTGAGTGCTATCATATGTCGTTGATCATAGCTGAATCTGTTTCAGTCTTATCTGCTCCGCTATGAAAGCTATGTTTTAGTATGTTATTTTCTAGCTTACATAGAATTTTTCCAGTTATAATTAAGATAGCCAACTGCCGCAACTGGTTCTTGCTTCAAAATCTCCCTTTCAAATAGGTTGAACTCTTGGAAAATACACGAAAACTAGAAAAAATCACGGCAACGAGTGGTGTTTCAGCAAGTCAATCTGAACGAAGTCAGAAAAGAAAATTCTAGAAGTTGCCGCCGCATAGCAAATACAAAAACAAATGACCTAAAAGTGTCCTCTGCGATCAACCTGCCTGTTATGGCTTTTGCGCCTCCATGCGTTCCTCTATTTTTTGATTTGCCTTTGTGATAGCGTCAGTTTTCATGATTTACATGCAAGTATACCCAGCCTCTGGGCCATTAATTCACATAATGTTTTCCCTCGCAACCATAACTACGAACTCTAGCGTTAAATGCTGATCATCCACACCCTAGTAGGCTTCATGAAGTGTGGCTTATTGTACAAGTGATTTATTA